AGGGCTGTGCTGGGAAAGCTTGCATGGCTGCTGTTGCTGCTGCTCCCCTTCCTCCCGTTCCCTCCCAAATCTGGCACTGGCCCCACCCTGCAGACACCTCACACCCTTTGGGAGGGCAGGACCCCTCTGGTTTGCTTCCCCCCCCCCGGCCTTGAATGACTGTTGCTCACTGCCCACGCTGCTTTTTGCCCCAGGGAGATGGGCTGGGGGTGGCAGGGTAGGGTTATAGGGCGGGGCGAGGGGGTGGCGGACAGCGACAGGGAAACAAATTTATTCCTTGCCTTTTTATAGCTGTCTCTCTCTCTCTCTTTTTTTGTTGGAAATGAATTTGTCACAGAAATTTTGGGCTGACCTCTTTGAAAAGTGTGTCTGGAGTCTATCTGTCCATCTCTTGCGGGGGTGGGTGGGATGGAAAGAGCAACCCCCCCTCCTCTGAAAACGATGCTGGCCTCATGTTTTTTCTACCCTCTCCTTAAACCCTTTCCTCAGCAGAACTTTTGTTAGGTGTAATACTTGGGGGGGGGGGGGAAAAGAAGGGGTCCTTATCTTTGCTGAGGAGGAATTTGAATGTTTTTGAAGATTCCTTGCTTCCAGGTTGAAGGCAAGGCAAAGAGAATTTCTGCACTGCTGTTGCCTGCATTAAGGCCCCCATAATTTGTGCAGAATATGAAGAACCTCTGCGAAATACACTTCCTTTCTCGTTCTGAGAGGCACAGGCACCACACACCAATGCACACCACACAGAAGACACAGAAGGCACAGTTGATTGTTAAGCAAGAGACAAACAACCCATTCAGTGCTTCAGTTTTTCAATTCTCAAATTATCTCTGAAGTTGTAGTCCCTGAAAGATAGTTTTTCCATGTCCTGCTCCTTGGATTATCATCAAGAGGCCCAAAGTAGAGCAGAGAAGCAGAAAAACTTCCCAAGGGAGCATCCATCTTAGCACACATCACAAGAAGGGAAACAAAACCCCAATGATCATCTTCACGGCAAATCTGTTTCATTTGGTTGGGGATTTCTTGGACTTTGGTCCACAGCTAGTTGGTGGGTGGAGTGTAATCCTCTGTTGGCAGGTAGCCATCGGGCAGCTGCAAGGCGTGGTCCAGAGAGGGCTGGAGCTGCCTGTCTTGGAAAGAAAGAAATGTCAAGCAAGAGCCCATCTCCTGCCGTGTCAAAATGCCAAATTCCAGTTCATCAGAAAATTCTGTTGTGCTTCCATCGGCTTGAATGGGGACTATGGCTTTTTAATCCTACTATATCTATTAACTGACTGGCCATGCCAGGGTGTCTTCTCGTCCAGATATCATGTTCTCCCTAATAGCTTGCTGTAGTTTTGTTGCTTCTTTTTAATCGTCACCGCCGGTTCTTTTTCTATTAAGTTGCCTGCCCTGTCATCTTTCTCTTTCTGCCGCTCCGAATCCCATGGGCATCCTAAAACGGGTGCGTGGATTGGTTTGATCTCTCTTAGATTGAAAGCACCTGCCCCGCTTAGGATCATAGCTCATACATCTGGTGGAGGGCATAATAAAATACATACACTTTTTTAAGATGCCAGAGTTGTGGGGAGGTTTTTTTTTTTGGGGGGGGGAGGGAGGAACAGCCTTCCTTGGGCAGGGAAGAAGGTGGGGGAAAAGGTGATTTTGGTGGGCAGTGGCAGAGGGAGGGAAACCCACTCCCTGGACCACACCACCACCACCCCCGTGATGAGTGTGCCTTGGGTGCTACCAGGTTTCTCTCACTTCCGTGCGAAAAATTCTATTTTTAACCAGAGATGGTTTTGAAGAGAGAGAGAAGCGGGAAGTGTCGAACCACGTGCCACATCCACGCCCTGGATGCACATTGCTAGGCTGTCGTTCATGAAGCTGCTTCCTGAAGTTGCTGCTTCCCTATTTTTTTTTAAAGCCTCAGGAAGACGTGGGCCCTCCAAGCAGCCCCAGAGAGTAACCGTTCCTTCCACACCCTCCTCACCTACAGAGCATGGAGTGAGTTAGGGAGCCTGAGATCACGCAGAGGTTTCAAAATGTCCACCACCACCCCATGCACTTTCTTATTTCAAGCATGATCATCTTATCATGGAACTGTGAAATTGAGGGTGGGGATCTTCCATACCATTCGGGCCGTCCCCCTTATTCACCTACGAAATGCTGTGGCTCGGTGGCGCCAGCTTCCCCGTCGGGCTTCTAAGCTTCACCCTCCTTGATGGTTGCTTTTCACGGCTGCTGTTCTTTTTTTCTCCAAGAACCACCTTTTCTCTTTGCCTAGCTGCCCTCAATAACAGAGATCTTCCTCAAACTGTGTCAGGTGCCGGAGAACACTGGGTCGCTGGTCTCATTTTGGTTTGGTGTCTGCTGTTCCTTTAAAACCCTTCTTGTAGTTGTAGATCAGGCCTTCCGAGTCCCGTCCAGGCTGAAGAAAAACATCCTTCATCCTATCCAGGCTAAACTTTCTTAAGGATAAAAAGATGTCAATTAAAAAAAAAAACCCAACCGAATGAAAAAATAGAAATCCTGAGATCTGCAGTGCCAAGTTCGTTTGCTGTTATTCACCGTATTTCTGTCCTGTCTCCCCAAAACGGATCCGAGTTGTTTTGCGTAATGCGTGTCCATGTGCGCACATTCCCTCGCTCTTTGGCTGCTCTTTGAACCCCCCCCCCTCCTGCCACTGGTGGATGCAGTGGGGATGCCTCATGGGGTAGCAAAACAACCTTTTCCGTGAGAAAGGACTATGGTGGTGCCACGAAATGGGGAATTTCTGTTTATTAGACCACGTGCCACAGTGATGAAAACAAACAAATGTACAATTTGATTCAACGCCTCTCGGTTAGAATGATGCATGCTTCGCAACAAAAGAATCCCGCAACACAGCAAGGAGGAGGAGGGGTAGAATTTGGAGAGGAAAGAAGGCCATTGAGCCCGTGGGCAGAAGATCAGCCGGACCCCCATCCGTTTCCCCCGTTGCGCATCCTACATGGCTCAGCTCTGCTGTGATGCTCAGGTCTCTGTCATGGATGGGGCAGCCCTTTCCTGGCTCGGCTGCCCTCGACGCCCCAAGCCTTGGGCCCCCAGCTGAGCTCACAGAGTTGGTGGGCTTCTGGCGGGAAGGAGCCGAGGACCCAGAAAAGGAGCAAGAGGGGTGGATGTGTGGAGCGTCCGGTTGGGCAAGGAGGGCCCCGGGGTGGAGCTCCTCCGTGGGTCCCCGGGGCGTATATGGGGACCGCTCAGCGAACTGGGAAGAGAAAGGAAGAAGTGTAGAGTTACCAAAGGGAAGGAAGTACAGTACAGACAGGGGTCTTGATGTCAACCGGGGGAGGGGGGCATGTCTAACAGAAACTTGGCCCTCCTTCAACCGGGTGGGTGACAGGCGTTTCGGCCGGTGGACAGTCTTGATGAGGAGCCATTCCCAGGTTAGCATGCCGCCCCCCACCCGCCCAGCATCAGTTTGCAACTCTTAATTGGTGCTGTGGGGGGAGCGACATTGAGAGGCGAGGCGCTCGGATCCAGACCTCCACCTGTGGCCCTTCCTGCTTCCAAGTTGGTGGCTTCCCTCCGTTGGCACACCTGCCTGCCCCCCCCCGGAAGGCTGAAGAACCGCCTTTCCTAAGACTGACTTAAGAGACCGTGAGAGATTTTATGGCCGAACAGGGAGATGTTGGGGCCA